CTCCATACTTCAAAGTGTCTAAATAATAAATGAATTAATTTGAATTAACTTAAATTGGACCAAAGTTATATTTTATACAAAATGTTGCCTGAACTTTACGTGTTAGTTTGAAACAGCTAAATATGAGTTTGCATGTATTTCATGAAACTTAATATTTTACAAAACACATCAATTTCTTTAGAACATTCAGAAATATTTTCAGAACTGCTAGTTTGTCAAATTAAGCTGGCTGCCACTTCTCTCGTCCTGACCACAACTCCTCGCTCATCCACCCACTACCTTACACATCTCAGCGACTCTTAGCCCCGCCCACTTTTATGGAATCTTTTTCATATTTGCCTGGGGGCGGGGTTATGCTTTCACAGGGGGCTTAGTTACACTTTGAAGAAAGATAACTCCATGGTTTTTGTTTATCAAAACAATATTAGCTGAACTCTGGCTCATATTCATCTCTCAGTGATAGTGAATCAAAAATAATCTAAAGAAACTTCAGATTCTTCTCTACAGTCTGTTAGCCGTTGTAGCAATGCTCTGTTTATATTCAGACATGTTCCTTTGTCATCACTTCCTGTTTCTGCACACACGGGTGTCTCAACAACTGTTCATCTCGGCAGCATTAATCTTTGTTTTGCAATACCTTATTAGTATTATTTTTCAAAAAAATGATTAATATTTATTTAAAAGATCCATAGTTTCATTGGCTAATTGACTGACTGATCTGTTGTGTTCCTGCTGTACCACAAAATGTCTTATCAAGATGTTCTTTTTGAGTAATGGATTTGTCTCTGTGCTTTTCTTGTTGGTAGTAAGTGAACACTGATAGTGTGACTCAGTGGGTGAAGACCAATAAAATAACTCGTTTCCATTCCTACAGTCCTGGGATACATTTTTCCGGAATGCAAATGCTGGAGCTCCACCTGGTGCGGCCTACCAGAGCCCTCCGCCACTAAATGGTGTTTCTGAGGGACTGACCGGAGTCCAGGATCTGCTGGGAGCTCAACTCGATGTGGAGAAACTAGTGAAGGATCATCTAGCAGTGCAGGCGCTGATCAGAGACTACCAGGTAAACTACAGACACACCTCCAACTACAGTGACATGATAAATGTCTCATTTTACAGGATGTCCCTCAAAAAGGACATCATTTAAAATGTGAACGTCTGAGTAAAGACGTGTCTTATGGGAAAACAAAATAAATATGCTAAGAAAAAAATATTTATCAAAATTCGAAAAAGAGATTCTGAAGGATTTAGTTTTTATACTTAACGTGACAAAAGTTCATTATCCACCCTGCCTGTGACACTACACACTCCATGCATCTCAGGTAGCTCTTACCAACTGCAGCTCCTATAGCTCAGTTAGTCTACCAATACACACACATTTTAGTGTGTTTGTGTGTTTAGTCCACACATACACACTGAGCCTCTCGGTCCTGTCCGTAGGTCCGAGGACATCACTTAGCGAAGTTGGACCCTCTGGGCATCGGCTGCGTGGACTTTGATGACACTCCATGTTCTGTTGGTTTCCAGAACGTTGGTGAGGAAAATAATTCTGCTTTATTTTTATTTTCCAGTCCTTTTTCTCTTTTTCCTTTTAACCGTTGTTTTATTTTATTAACCCTGTCAATCCTTGTCAGCATATGTTGATCTTTACTGAATCAAAGCAGAGTACATGGTTTCACTTTTCTGACAGAAGAATTTTTTTATCCTCAGAGTGAACGATGAGGAAAAGAAACTGTCAGGATGTTGAAGAAGCTATAAAACAAGTTATTACCTAATTTATTTACCTATTTATTTACAAGTTATTTACCTAATTTCCCTCTGGGATCAATAAAGTATTTTTGAATTGAATTTGAATTGAATTAATGATTTACTAACAGTAATTACTAAAGTTTTTTTTGACTCTTGGAAAAAGTTTGTCCTTATTTACCATGTCGTGTTTTTGATTTTCTAAGAAAGAAATCAAAAACTAAAAGATGACAAACTAGAGGTAAAAATGTTGAACATCCTCACAGAATCATGTGATGTTTTTAGTTTAAACAGAACAAAGTCTTAGTGTCTGTTTTTATTTTTGTTTGCTCATTCATGTAAAGCACTGCAGTAATACAGTAATATATTAATACAGTATTACACTGTTAAGTAAGTATACTGTATTTATATACAGAGCCTACTTAAACTCCTGGTAGGCTCCGGGGCTAAGAGTAGGCCCCTCCATGTTTGGAATCCTGTAGTGATCATGTAAAATTAATCTCATATTCAACTCATTCTCACTCCCAACTTGTCACATATTGATGCTTGGTCAGGTACTATCTGCGTCCATTTTTGGACGCGTCGGGTACCCCCCTTGCGTCAGTTATTAACGAGATGAGACAGAGGAGGAGGAACGCGTTGTCATATTTTTTGAAAAGAGAAGGAAATGCATGACAACTAACCGTCCTAGACCCTAAATTTAACTTATATTAGCCCTAGACATCCTATCCCTGACCTCAGTACCTAAAATTAACCATTAATAATGATCCCTCATATTAACCACAGACCCCCAACCCAAAGACCCCCACGGGCGTGAATAACTGAAGTGAGGGGTTACCCGACGTGGAAAAACTGGAAGCAGACGGTACCCGACCAAGCGTCAATATGGTGACAAGTCGGGAGTGAGAGCGTGTTGCAAATTACAAGTTTTAACACTGAGCATTGTTCAGACCAATAAAGAATACATAGACTGTATTACACAGCGCCTTTCTAACCAATCAGGATACTCAAAGCATTTAACTACTGAATCATTTACTCATCTACACACTCATACAGCATTTTGTGAGTGTGCTCAGTTAGCAGTAAACAGTAGCTGCGTTTCCATTGACCATGAAAATGCGCAAATTAGAATTTCGAAAAAAAAAAAACTGCTCAATGGAAACACGTCAATTTTGAAACTTATGTTTTTTTGACAAAATGTTTTGTGCTAGGATGAGCTGGTTTTTCAGCCATATCGAAATTGGTGTATTTCGCAAAACTGCTATGGAAACACTTTGTTCGCATCACGGGAGTCACGTGATCAAGAACCGGCTGTTTCTACTGGTGAAAAGATGACAAAGAAGAAGACAACAGAAAGTAGAAGTAGTAGTAAAATGACAGAAGTTGTAAAAAAAAGGTAGTAAACTCACCAATTTCCCAGAAACGCCACATACGTAGCTGCTACCAAGTATAAGGGGCTTGTTGCTCGAAAGCCTGGATAAGACGCCAACGTCTCCTCTGATGGCTGATGATGAGCGCTAATGTTGTGGTAGCAATATGCTATGTGTTTGCATCCATTGCCGCCATGTTTGTAATGACTTATCGTGAGAACAAACGTGTTCACGTGACTTTAATAGCATTTCTTACTTAATGGAAACACTGCAATTGCGAATATGGTTTTTTTTTTACATTAACAGAATATCAACAAAGTTTCGTGCACATTTGCAATGGAAACGCAGCTTATGGTACACTACATTCATACAGGTAGAGCTTTATGCGCAAGGTTTATAATTACACACAGCGTTTGGTTTTTCATGTCTTTTACTGTCTACTTATGGCAAAGTAGGGCACCAGATACATATTCTACTTAGGGTCCCCAAATGTCTAGGGCTGGCCCTGCCCCCACACACAACCCTATAAATCAACATCACCTGTCTGCACAAACATTAATAATGTCAGGATTACCAATGCCACAGTTTTAAAATATCACCCTTTTGAATACAACATTATATAAAGCCAGAATCACCCACTCTGTGTCAAGTTTGATGACTTTAAGCTTTGAACAGTGAACAATCACATTTGTCATTAAAAATACTTAAATATTAAAAACCACAGGATTGGTAATAATACAAGCAAATAAAATCAACAGAAAATACAACCTCTGAAAAGAAATTTAAATGTGTTTGTTTACTTCATTACGCGCTCACACCCAGATAGAAAGTACACCAATGTTTGAATGGTTAAATGTGAGGAAAAAAGACCATACAACCACACCACAGCACTGGACTGAAATGTAGGTTTAATGCTTTTCTCACACATTCAGCAAAGCATTCAGGAAGTATTATTCAATACATCACTTTCTTCAGGACCTGACTCCGCCTATTTTCATTGCATCATTAAAAGGGCCAGACTATCAAGCTGAAGTCAGGTCTTCTGTCATAATTCCTATCTTAGTGTAAAGATCAACATTTTTATTATGTGTTAAATTGTTTCCAGGCATGCATCTAAACTAACAGTACCTCCTGCCCTGTGCAACCATATTTTATAGCCACCCAGACCAGTTTGTACATAAAATCATCAATTTAATCACAGAACTAATCACACAATAGTTTATAAAAATATATCGTGGTTCACCTAAGAAAAACTACAGAACGTGTGATTTTAAAAATCATTGAGTAAACAAACACCAATAGATTTCTTCACCTCTCATTTATATTTCATATTTGATCATTGAATGCATTGATCAATGTACAGTTGTGTCACTATTTGTTTCCAAACTGAACAAACTTTAAGTCATCTAAATCAACAAAACTATGTCTTATAAAAAGATTCATATTTGCAGATAATTTATTATAAACTACAAACATTTGAAAGTGTCACCTTAACAGAAAGAACATTACGAGTTTTGGGGACAAATATAAAAGGTTAAATGGAGACACACCTTTTCTTTAATGTTGATCATACATATGTATTAGTTTAATCAAAAAACTAAAACAACAGAAAAAGCAAATCAAAACAAAAGTTCTGCCAAATTATTCTGACAAATATATAAATAAAGATCTTGTATTTATCAACGATTTTACAGTAATGAACATGATAAGGTTCTTCACAGAAAGTAATAAACAGTATTATAGTTTTACACATACAGCCCACATACAGTTCAGAACTGAACTGTTCTCTGGTAGATAAGACAGAAGGCTTTATGACACTGTGGCTGTTAGGTAATGTCAGCTGTTGTTAGCTGATGTTAGTTTATGTTAGCTGATGGTAGGTGGTGGTAGCTGATTGTAGGTGGTGGTAGCTGATTGTAGGTGGTGGTAGCTGATGGTAGGTGGTGGTAGCTGATTGTAGGTGGTGGTAGCTGATGGTAGGTGGTAGTAGCTGATTGTAGGTGGTAGTAGCTGATTGTAGGTGGTGGTAGCTGATGGTAGGTGGTGGTAGCTGATGGTAGGTGGTGGTAGCTGATGGTAGGTGGTGGTAGCTGATGGTAGGTGGTGGTAGCTGATGGTAGCTGATGGTAGGTGGTGGTAGCCGTTTTCCCAAGGCACTGCTGAACCAATAGGTTCAGCCTCAAGGCTCTGCACTCACTCGTCATGCCATTAAAAGAACATTTTTTCCTCAAACATTCTAATTCTCTCATTCTTATGAGCTCATGCTTACAGCTTGTTCATTTTTTTGTTTTAGAAAACAAGATAGGAAAATGTGACTTATAGCTGTCACAACAAAACAACTTCCTGTTGTGTAGTTATTGAACTCTGTTGACAGTGTAAACTGGACAGAGCTGTGAAAAAGGTTAAAGCAAAGTGAACGGTGTGTGTACTGTGTATATACTGTGTGTGTTTCTGTTTGGTGCTGTCATTGTGTCTGATGTAAAGGTCTGGCCTTTTAGTTCAGACCTTGTGATTGTTGGTCTCAGGGTTACTGGTTGTTTTGTCCAAGTGTCAGTGAGAGGTCAGTCGGAGGGTCAGAACCTAATGAAACGTGTGAACAGTTCTGCCACCTGACATCCCTCCAGAGTTTCTGTTATTAAACTAGAGAGAACAAGAACCTCAAGTCCAACCTTTTGTGGACATTTCTAGAAGAACAAGCTGCCAGGAGGAAAACTATTATCTGTAAGGTGGCCCAAAGATTTGGCCCTAGGATTCCCTTCTGTTGAAAACATATAAACATAAAACTTACCTTCGATGGTGGCTGATTGATTACAGTAAAACAATTAATCAACTCACGATTAATTGTCAAATAATGGTTTATTAGATTAAAATCTGTTCTATACGATTAGCTTTTAACATCCGTTTAGGCAGAACAGAAAGAAACGCCCTCTCTGTCTGGCATATGTCTGGGAATGCTGATTACTGCTTCCTTGAGACTAAATGTCTATATTGTCTTAAAAAATGTTTTACTGATGTGAAATGTAAATCTCTCAAACTGTGTTTGATTACTCTGGCTTTTTCAAGGACAAGGATGTGTGACAAAAAAAGAATTTTAGAATAGAAATTTAATTGCAGCACTGACAGTGAAAGTAGTCAAACAGAATTTTTAATACAACAAAATATAGTTTCAAAGCAAATTAATTCAGATTCTAAACTTTAAATTCAGATTCATTTGAGTGAAATAAAAATTTAAACCGATGCATTTGAGTTCACATTATGCAAATACAAAACCAGTTGGTGTAACTCAAATTCAGCTTCTAATGGCACTAGTCTCTCATGCCTTTTTGTCTTTTCATTAAAAACTTCAAGTGTTAATTGAGCTCCTGCTGTAGGTCCACAGTCCTGAGTCCAAATCCTCCACAAACACTGATTCTGACAGACTTCAATTAGTAACTAAACAGCAGGTCATATTAGTGCATACTGGTTCAATATTTTCATCTCATTTTATTTTAAAGTCAAATTGAATGACAAAAAATATTCTATTAAAATCAACAAGTCAAACAAAAAGTCTAAACATGTTTGTAATAAAGAAGAAGCACAAATTAACATTTAACATTTTACATTAATTGTATTTAGCCAACTTAATCTGTTTTATTTAGTAAATAGTAATGTGTTTATCTATAAACAGTTCAAATTAGTTGAGTCTGAAAACAGATGTAGTGTTTCTGTATGCTGCTGGGAATATAATCTGTCAGATTAGATAAATGAGTTATAATTTTGAATACACAATACAAAAACAAGAAATACAAAAACTATTAGCCTTTACTGTTTTTTAATACTTTTCCCTTCCTGTTTTGTATTACTTAATGTTTAATATTTTTAGTGTTATTATTCCTCTTTTTTTCTGTTCTACTCTTTTAATCCTCTTTATTCATTGACTTCAGATTCAGACTTTAGACCCTGACTGTACATTACTGCATGTTGCTGTCTGAACTACAGGGTTGTATGGCCTAGCAGACAGTGACCTGGACCGGGTCTTCCGCCTTCCCACCACCACCTTCATCGGTGGAAATGAAAGCGCTCTGACGCTCAGGGAGATTATTCACCGCCTTGAGGTAAATTCCATGGAGAGAAGAAATTAACTGAACTTTGTTTAATGACACCATCTGAAGGAAACTTAAAGCAAAAAACAAAATCAGTTGTTCAAAACCTAGTTTGCTATATTCAACACAAAGAATTTCTTTCTTCTTTTACATGACAAATGCATTGCGAGACACTTACAAAAACCTTCCCCTTAGCTATTCTTTTGGGAGTTGAATAAAATGAAACTCAAATGTATTCATCTGAAACTTCAAAAAACAAACAAACAATTTTGTTTTGTTTTATTTTCTCTGTCTTTTTAAGTTTACAAAGTTGGGTTGAACATTTCATGTTCTGGGTGAAGGGCACAAAAATTAGTAGTAAAGTTATACCTTACAGTTACCTGCCCAGGCTAGATTATTTGTCTTGATGAGCAAATAAACTAGACAAAATAAGCCTGACACTAAAAACTAGTTGAACTAATCATGTAAAAAAAGTTGTCTATGAAAACAACAAGTCAGTTATTAGTTTAAGCTAAACGTCTAGAGTATGATCTTCCAGAAAATGAATTTATTTGTTTGTTTTGTAGAAGACAAATGTTAAAAATCTGTAGCAGTTTAAGCTAATTAATTTCTGCAGAACACTGTCTGTTGTTCTGGGGATAAGCAACTAAAAAAACACAAGAGTTGTTTAAAATGTTGTACTTGTAAAATAAAAACTGTAAAATATACATATATATATTTATTTAATCTCACCAACCTCAGCTTAGGGTTGGGCATAATCGAATCGTGTGCAATTAATCGTCAGAAAAACATTAATCGATTAATTTTTGGCAGTTGATAATTAATACGATTAATGCCACCTGGCAGACTAACCGCTTGGTGTTCCTCTCTGATTCAAATATGACCAACGTTTAAAAAATTGTGTAATTTATTTATCTATCAACACAAATTAAAGTTTGATGTATAGCCTGAAGTCTGTAATTTTGACACAATTTGAAACAGATTTTTATGAAGAGCCAATTTTCTCCCTATAAATTGGTCATGTGACCAGGACATAAGGGTGTCCAGGGATTCCGGGGGATTAATCGTCAAATTAATCGCTATCAGCTAAATATCACAATTAATTGTGATTAATTTTTTGCCAAGATTGCTCAACCCTACCTCAGCTACTGTATAAGCATAAATATGATGTCTAAAAATTAGATTTAAATGTCTAAAACACTAACACAAAACAACAGAAAAGATCATTATACGGTAAGTTAGATATTGTGTTTTTTAGATTTGTCATTACTGTTTATGAACTTGAAAATTACCATGTTAGTGAAATGCACTATTTTACGACGGGGTGTTAGGGCCACACAACGAGATTTTTTTAAATTACGAGAATAAAGTCATATTACGACATTAAAGTCATATAAAAATAAAGTTATAATATTATGAGAATAAAGTCATAATATTATGAATTTAAAGTCATAATATTATGAGAATAAAGTCATAATTTACTAGTTTAAAGTCATAATATTACAAATTTAATGTCATAATATTACGAGATTAAAGTCATAAAATTTCGAGTTTAAAGTCGTAATATTATGAGATTAAAGTCAGAATATTACGTGAAAAAGTCATAATATTGTAGCCTTTACATACATGAAAAAACATGCAGTTATAACTGCATTAAAATGAGGAATGTTGAGCAACTTGTCAAGTTGTTCTTTAGTATTGCTTAAAATAAATAGTTAATCTTTTACCACATTAGCATCAAATTATCAGTAGCAGGACTTTGAAATTGTGCAAACGACTAAACTGAAGCTATATTGTAATTAATGGATGCATTGACAGATTTAGTCGTCACGTAGTTAATTTGGATGAAAGCATGTTAATCTAACAGTGACCCGAGTCATCGAGGAATGCTAAACACATACACATGGCTGTACACAGCAGGTGTGCGGAAAATAAGGAGGAAATGAGGAAAAGAAAATGGACACGTCATGATTATGACATTTTTCTCGTAATACTAAGACTTTAATCTTGTAAAATTATGACTTTAATCTCGTAATATTATGACTTTATTCTCGTAATATTATGACTTTATTCTCATACAACTTTAATCTCGTAATAATAATTAAAAAAATCTTGTGTGGCCCTAATACTCCATCGTACTATTTAACGTCTATCATTTTTAAAATATTTTTAGCTATTTTTATAAGCCGACTAACTGTTAATTAGTTTTTAAATATAGAGTTTATTAAAACAGTTTTTACTGAGTCTTCTGTAAACAACATCTGTTTGTTTTTGAGTTAAACTGCTCTATAGTATACTGTATGTGCTTTCCTAATTGATGATTTCTGATCAAATTTGTGTTAAATGGCTTAACAACAATCAAAAAACTAAATGACCACAGTCAGATACAAGGACTGGACTGTATGTGAGTCAAAAGTCCAGAGTAACGTTGAACCACTGTCTGTCTGTCTGTCCTTCCTGTAGACGGCCTACTGCCAGCATATTGGGGTGGAGTTCATGTTCATTAATGATGTGGAGCAGTGTAAGTGGATCAGGCAGAAGTTTGAGACACCAGGAATCATGCAGTTCAGCTTGGAGGAGAAGAAGACTTTGTTGGCCAGAATGATTCGATCCACCAGGTTGGTCTGTGCTTCTTTACCGTCTGACTCTGGAGGTCATGGGAGGTAACGCTCTGAGTTCTGTTAAAAATTGGTTATAGGTTTGAGGAGTTTCTTCAGAGGAAGTGGTCTTCAGAGAAACGTTTCGGTCTGGAAGGTTGCGAGGCTCTCATTCCGGCCCTGAAGACCATCATAGACAAGTCCAGTCAGAGCGGCGTGGAGAGTGTGATCATGGGAATGCCTCACAGGTACCGTCAAATGTCCATACTGCGGGGCTTCTACCATGCTCGACAATAAAAAGGAAGTCTCCTTTTTCTTCTTCTTCTGTGTCTTCAGAGGCAGGCTGAACGTTCTGGCTAATGTGATCCGGAAGGATCTGGACCAGATCTTCTGCCAGTTTGACTCCAAGCTGGAGGCTGCAGATGAGGTTTGAACATCACCTGCAGAGATTTGTATAAAGTCTAACACAACTGGAGTACAAAGTTACATCTAGTCATTATTATTA